ATGTCGGTGCCGATTTCGGTGTTTTCGAACCGCTCGCCGAGGGAGAGCGTCTTTTCGAGAGCGTTGGAGAAGGAGGCCTTGAGCTTTGCGGCGTCGGCGGCCTCGGTCTTGAGCACGCGGGAGGCCCGGACGCGGAGAGAGTCGTTCTTCAGCACGGCGGCGAGAACCTGCAGCAATCTGCCTGCGAGGTCGATGGGGCGGGTCTCGTTCGACTCCTCAAAGATGTGCTGCGCAAGGCCAGTGCCCGAGGGCTCTACGACGTCTAAGATTACATCTAGATACTTGACGACATTGAGCAGCTGTGTCTCCGCGCTGAAGCTGCCCGCCAGCATTGTGCAGAACTCGCTGATATTCCCATCGTCCGCCTTGACCTGGCCACCACCAACATTGACCCTATACTTCTCCGCCAGCTTCGCCAGCAGCGTAAACAGGAACTCGTCCACGCCCAGCGTCTCCGTCAGCGCAATAAACAGCCTGACCCTCCTGTGCGCGGGGATATGCCTGTAGCTCGCCACAAACGTCGAGATCAGCTCCGCCGCACCCACGACCGGGTTCCCGCCCTGCTCCTGCAGCGACTTGACGAGCGGCGGGATGACACGCTTGATCGTCTGCTCGATGACATGGGCCGAGTACTCGTCGTCCTGGCGCAGCGTGTTGGCGCCCATGAAGGTGAAGATGGGCATGACGCTGTGCTTGACCACGTCCGGCGCCACGTCGGCCAGGCTGGCGAGGAGGAGCAGCGCGCTGTTCTGCACCTGCGGGCTGGACGTCGAGCGGATGCAGTTGACGAGCACGTCGGCCCGCACGGTGCTGTCGAGGTTGATGGATTTGGTGCCCTTGAAGCTCTTGATGATGGCGCTCATGCACGAGAGGAGCACGCCGTGGAGGTAGGCAATGCCGGCGTACTCTACGCTGCCGACGTCTGCTAGCACGCCAAAGAGCTGCTTTAGAAGCTCTGCGTGCTTCTCGGCGCCCTGGCTTTCGAGCAGTTCTGCGACAACTGTGACTCTCCGCAATGCTACCGCCTGGTCAACCTCGTTGTCGGCGCCGGTGGTGATAACAGCAGTCATCTTTTGCCTCTTATTGTTTGCAACCGCGCTGCCCGGCAGTGCTGCCTTCAGCTCTGCTCTGGACTCGTCCAGGAACCGGGAAAACACCTCCGTAGAGATTGCGACATCCCTCAGCACCTGATGGGCCTCTCCCGCGTCCTCGCCGCTCAACGCAATCTCAAGAAGCTTCTCAGCAGCACCGGTCTTGGTCTCGTCGTCGAGGGTGTTCCAGATCTTTGTGATCCGCGCGGCGGCTGCAGTTCTGAGGGTGGGGCTGAATCCCTTCTCGATGATGTGGACGAGGACGGCAGCGCCTTCTGCGTCGCCGCCTTCGGAGACGACACTGACGAGCTGCTCCTCGAGCGTGACGATGTCCACACGCTCCTCGGCGCACTGGGCGACGCGGGTCTGGTAGTCCGACACATCCACCCAGCTCTCCAGCGCATGCGCCAGGAACTCAGTCCGTGACGTCGGCGCCTTCTCCACGCGGTTCAGCATCGTGAGAAGACGCAGCTTGGGAAGCAGTGCAGGCATGTTGACAGTGTGGCTGCCCAAGAACGACATCATGCTGGTCTTCAAGCTGGACTTCACACTCGACTCTGTAGCGGTGCCCAGCACGTTCTCGACCGAACGGCCAATGACGTGCGAGTCAAGAACGCACTCCTCTAGGTTGCTCATGATGACCTCCTCGATGAACTTGCGTGCCTCCGCGGTCTCGAGCCATTTGACTTCTTCGGTCTCCTTACCGGTGCCGTATATTGAGTCGAGTGCCCAGTACTTGATGGGCCCCTCCGCAGCGGCTTCGGACTTTCTCCTCTTCTTCTTCTTGCCCAGCTCGCCCCCGAGGGCCACATAGCGCTCGTTGAGCACCCGCGCGAGAGTCGCGGCTTCGCGGCGGACGTTGATGGACGGGTCCGCGAGCGCAACGAGGATGTGCGGGAACAGCGCCTGGAAGTCGACTCGCTCGCCGACGGTCTTGATGTAGCTGGTGCACTCGTGCAGCGCCGTTGTCCGCGCCAACGCGGGGTATCGCAGCGAGGTCCAGATCTTGATGAAGAATGATAGGGCGAATGCGTGGTCCACTGGCTTGCTTTTGAAGATTGGGAGCTGGAGGGCTGGCGCGAACGGTTTGGACGTGGTGATGGCGGTGATAAACGCCTGTCCGAGTCTTTCAAAGACACCCGGGGCAGTGGGCGCCAAGAACGAGTCGCCTTCCACGGCAGCTGCAATCGCAGCAAGGAGCTCCTCGAAGGTCTCGGCTTGTGCTTGTGGCGCCTCGATTGCTTTCAGCGCCTTGGGCTCCGCAGCGGGCATGATGGCGGGGCGGATGACGGTCTGGAGCCTGAGCTCGAGAAGCTCAATGTCTACAGACTCGGTCTCGAGGATCTCCTTGACGAGCTTGCCCATCTTCTTCTTCTCGCCCAGGCCGGTCCAGCGCACAAGGGAGGATGCGAGCTTCTCCTTGACGTCTTCGAGCGCGTTGCTGCCCTCCTCCGTCTCTGCTGCTGTCCTGCCCTCGCCGATCTTCTGCGCGGCGTCCACGAGTTTCTTCATTACGAGTCTGCGCTGCTTGGGGCCCATGCGGGCCTCTTCCAACAGCTTGACCACAATACTGAGCCCTCTGAGTCCGTACTTACGCCCCAGCCTATCCAGGACGCCCAAGCACAGCCCAACAACAAGTTTATCAACCCGATACTTCTCGCCCATGGCGAGTAGTCTCTCCGCAATATCCTCAATCTTCACCAGCCCCTTCACAACCTCATCCGACACCCTCACCTCCTTCTCGCCCTGGCGCGCCTGCGCCAGAAACGCCACGCACGCCAGACCAGCGCTGACAGTGTCCTTGCTCCACCCCTTCACAATGCTCTGCATCAGCGCCAGCAGCAGCTGCCCCGACAGCGACAGCTTGGCCACGACGACGGTCGTCAGCATGTATGCGCCGATCTGGAACTCTGGGGCCTTGCGCGCCTGGTAGGCCTCTTCGAGGATGGGCATGGCCAGGTGCAGCACGTCCTGCTCGGAGGTGGCGCCGGCTTTGCGCGTGGCGTCGCACATGAGCGAGACGGACTCTGTGGCGACGGTGGAGAAGAAGGAGTGCAGGGCGTGGCTGTCGCGGCGGGTGCGCGTTGCGGTGGTCATGTGGGCGCTGAGGAGGGTGAAGAAGTCGCGGCGGTGGGAGAGCGCGTGGGTGACGACGTGGCGGGGCACGGGGGATGCGGGGGAGAGGTACGGGGCGAGGAAGCCGAATTCGCGGGGGAGCGACTTGGCGGGGATGATGGACAAGAGGGTGGGGAGGAGGGTGGGGTGCGTGTGGTAGGGGAGGAAGCAGAGCAGGATTGCGGCGGTGTTTTGCTCTTGCACTCTGTGCAGGTTGTTAGTTTAGTCTTGGTAGATATGTAGAATTGGAATTGATAGCAGAGACAGTACCTAAAGCGTCTCACAAGCCATTCCACAGCCTTCAACGACGGCCTGAGTAGCAACTTCCCGCTCACGAGCTGCAGGAACGCCTCAATGCTCTTATCCAGCTCGTCCACCTCGTTGCGCGGCAGCAGGAAGCGGTCCACGCCCTTGCTGCTCTCGCTGAACAGGCCGCGCTCGTGGGCCACGAAGCGCTCGTCCAGCTGGCACAGCTCGCGGAAGCCCTCGGCCGCGATCGAGAAGATTGTGTCGAGGTCCTGCGTCGCCGCGTGCGCCTCGGGGAAGAGCAGCGAGGCCGAGTGCAGCTGCTTGAGCTTTTGCGTGTTGAGCGTGTTGGTGGAGGTGGCGGTGATCCGCTGCAGCTGGGCTGCGAGGGAGGACGCCATCTTTGCGGAATTTGGGTTTTTTTTTTTTGTGGGGGTTTGGGAGAGGATTGGGGTGGGTTGGTTTGTGGGAAGGGTTGGGTTGAGGTTTGGGTGAGCGTTTTGGAAATGGTCGGAATTTTTTTTTTTTTTTTGTGTGGTGCCAAGATTTTGGATGTAGGTGCGCGGGAGGTGCCGGGGCATGGGTTGTCACTCGGTGCTTGGCAGCGGAGGAGGTGGGATTTCATCCAATCTGATACCATAGTCCGATGGATGTACTTTAGGGATTCCTAAGCGCAGTGAAACTCCAATGTTACTGTAAAATTCAGAATTACGTAGGAGGTACTTGTGAAACCACAAAGCCCGTTTGCTACATGCATTCATCATTGCAATTAGTACAATCATAGACTATCACTCGACACAATGGGTACGTTTGAAGGAGACACAGAGGCCTCGGAGGGGGAGCAGAATTGGATGGGGTACTAGAGGTAGAGGTAGGCTTGGTATTGTGGCGTTGAAGAGCTGGGTTTGAGGTTTCTGGCGGCTTGAGGTTGGGTGTTCTCGATCCCAAGGTACGTGCGTGGGCGTTGCGGTAAAGAGAACGCAAGACAGGACTAAGGCATATAAATTGGTGCATGCTTTATGGTATTTATAGTGGAGTTCCTACAAGGGATTCGAAGACTACATGTAATTAAAGGTAAGTGTAAGTAGAACGATGAAGAAGTCACACAGAGACACAAGGCGAAGAAGACACGTAAGAAAAAGAAGAGTAAGAGGTATACTTATACGTAACCGCATATATACAGCTTATTATCATTATTATTAAATCCAACCTTTTACTTCGCATACAAGACGAGCATCAAATGCCTATGATAGGGGCGAACCCCCCCACCCCCGGGTTTGCTTGCAGTGCGGGGGCTCGCGGATCTTTTCTGCAATGAGCAGGCTAGCGAGATCGAGGACGTCCTGTTAATGCCGAAGACAATTTATAAAAGCAATTGGAGTAACCATGGAAGTGGAATAATGCTTAAAAATGTCACAAAGAGACCTAAGGTGATCGATCGCAAAGGAGTCACGTAATTAGAGAAGAGTAAGAAATTACATGTTCTTATTATCTTGTGGGTTACACGTGTTTATAAGTAATAGCTATAACTCAACCACAATCTGTTCCCTAGAGCCTCTGTATGTTATACACGATGAGGGAAGCGCCTATGTTCTCGTATATGAGTCTCCCCCCCGCCCTCCCATTGTGAGTACAATGGTTGGCAATAGCCCTGACGCCCCGGCCCAAAATCTTGCAGCTCACTACCAAGTTAAGACGGCCACAGAGAGCAGCCTCTGCATAGCCGGACCACTGGACTCGGTTGCACCTGGAACGGACCGGGTTCTTTTGCTTGCAGGTCCATTCTCCCTGTAACTTGTCGTTGACCATCCAATCGGAGAGGTCGTAGACATCCTTTGTCGAGGGAGAGGCGTCACTTGTTTCGCAGACGAGCAACGGGGGGGCTTCATCACGGCGATGGAGAGCGGGCGAGAAGTCGGCGTTCTCGGAGTCGTCATTGTCAGGGCCGTCGTTCTCCAAGTCGTTGAGGTCGAGTTCTTTGGTGGTAACGTCGACGTTGGAGGTGTGAACGAATTCGGAGGCATCGAAGGAATGGGGGAGCCGGAGCGCCTCGAAATTAAGATCTTTGTCCTCGGAAATGGAAACGGGAGAGTCAACCGCCATGCCGAGAGTGATGGTGGCACGGGAGAAAAAGAGGAAGATCATGGTGGTGATAATGAAGAAATTCATCATGATTGATATCGTTGGTAGAGCTAGGTTGGAGCTAGGTCACGGCTTGAGAAAGCTGCAGGAAATGAGGGTGGTGCCGGAATTAGTGATAGTGTGGAACGACGATGTATTTGCATATATACATTGGAGAACTTTCGTCCACGCCTTTTATAAAGCAATTAATCATGTACAATATACAAAGGAGCCAAGATCCGGTTTAAGTTTTACATTTCACGCCCCATTCACAGTTACATATTGTAATTACAGTCGACTCTAGCTCTTGTTAATTGGTGCATGAGACTGCATGCATATAGTGTCGATACTCTAGATCTCGTTATAAGGATAGTAATCGGCAGTCCAGAAATACTTTTTTACCCGTAGTACCTCCTTGCTTCTTATAATGATATTCGCCTTATATACATTTCAATACAGAATTTCGGTCCGGACCATATATATCCTGATATCGAGAGTCGACTGTACTAGCTAAGTAGGTTTTAACCAAATATCATGCAGAGAGCGCCTCGGACGTAAATTTCAAACTAATTAAGGAAATACAAATCATAAAAGGCTAACAAGGTCTCTTATATATGCTTAGCTAACTAGATTTCTATCTTATGGATATTAATATTTGCTCGACATCTACATGTGGGTTATTACTGCTGGTTCTGGTGCACATTGAAGAATTTCAAGATTTTCACTGTTGCTTATGTCACTTTATTTGCAATTGCTCATTCTAGCTAAGTTAAAACTGTTTTTTTATTACTATTATTTTAACTTTATCTTTAAGAATTTTGATAAGCAATTACATTTATACTAAATCGTATAAACATAATTGACTTATCCAAATTATCCCCCCCAAATCCTGCAGCCTCTAATTGCCGCCCACCAACGTCCTCTCCTTAAGGTACGTAGACGACAATTCTGCCCCACTGGTATTGCCCATATCCACCAGCCAGGCCGTCCCGGTTGCACTGGTCAGCAACAGCGCGGCCAACCCTTCCAGCAGTCATGCAGTGGACTTGAGACGCAACAGGCCCACAGATCGCCATTGCCGCGCTTCTGTGGTCGGTCATCTGGGTGCATTTGGACCCAGAGAGGTTGGTCTGCTTGCAGATGGAGGCTTTGTTCGCGAGGGTGTTGGCGGCGGCGAGGACGTCCTTAGTGTAGGGGGAACCGCTGGTGGTTTCGCAGACGACAAAGGCGTTGAATTGCCTCTCTTCGAGAGTGCCATAGGCCTCGAGGGTGGCGTTGAAGTCGGCGATGGTGGTGTCAGTGACGGCAGTGGGGACAGCAAGAGCCACGGCGGTGTGGACGAAGACGAAAAGAGCAGTGAGGAAGGTGAGGAAGTTCATGGTGATTTTTGTTTGGTAGGGATTGCGAATTGAAGTTGTCGTTGGTACGTGAGGAACGAGGAAAGAATGCTGCGTGAGCGTAGGGATTGTATTATTGATTCAGGATAGTTTTTTTCAGAGGAAATTAGAGGTTGGAAAATTCGTTAGGTTTTTATTACCAGAGTTATCGTGTGTTTTTAGAATGGAAAGGGCCCTGACACAAAGCGCCAAGATTTGTAAATACAGGATAGCATGTACATGCGATAAGGGATATCGATAACACGGCCAGCTGCAGTGGCGAGAATAATACATTTAATTCTACTTCTGACAAAATTATCACACGATATCATTGATTAACCATCTCATATAAGAGAAAAGATAGCTGGCACTAGAGGAAACATTTCAAAAATAGGGAGTGTTAGTAAAGCCTGCCTTATGATCTTTTAATATTCTAAATACATGCAGTCCCACGAAAGAGCACCTGCCACCAAAGAGCGTCTCCAGCTGAGCCTTTTCCACGTCAACTCCCAATTGGTGTTCTCCAACTTTCTGACATAGCTTTCAAGAGGGTACACAATAAATGGAATACAATACCGGTATCCAACGCGTGGGGCCAGTCATAAAGAAAGGAATCAATTGACAATATGATCAACATGGAATTTCGCAATCTACAATTGCAATCGTCGACCTCGAGCCTTATAAAACCTATCTATTCGTTCTCTGCGATCAATATGATTAAATCCATCACTACTACGGCTAAGTACTGTAGGGAGAACTGTAATATTTAGGGCCGGCATCAGCCGTCAGGCGAGGCAATTTTGTCCCTTGATCGTGGGAAAATGACAATTGATTAAGTCAGCGAATGAAATGCCCTACGCTTTTTAGGCTGCTATCAATGACTAAAATGTAGATAAAGTTAATTACTCTGTGCTGTTCTATGTGTTACAAGTAGGGGGCTTGTCCTAACGATAATTAAGTATACTAGCTAGCTACATTATAGTGCTAGTTATGATCACCGTACTAATGTCACTAACAGGAGAAGCCATGCTACTGCCTATACCAATCATGTCCCAGGGCGACTCCTGGTATATAATGTAGGCATGTATCGAAGCGATTTTAGTAGGACTTTCTGGATTGAATTCAATTTGATTAACAGCACGTACGCGTTGTCAAACTTAAGTGTCATGATGACAAATCCGAATAGATGCGAGTGATATATCGTGACTGTAGTGCGGGTGCAGGGTTTCTACTACAGATGCATATGACCGCTGACGGATTGCTGGTACTCATATTAAAAATGATGAGTACAAAAGGGAATAAGATCTTGCCTCGGTTGCCTAGAGGTCGACTTCACGACACGTAGTCTCGTGCCAATCCCGTAGTCAAAACTGTGGCTAGAAAGCGCTAGCAGAGATCAAGATTCTCTTGTACGACACATGTACATACAACTATACATATGTACATACATCTTGGTACATACGTGATTTTTCACTAGACTTTGACGCGATGTAATGTATCACAGATACAGGTATTCAAACTGAGAAAGGTTTAGATCTCGAAGCTTATCAAGGGGCATACGTAGTACATGTATGCGCCAAAAAAGGTTATTTATATATCTTTGATGCCAGGATTCCCCTCATCCACTGCACATCAACCCATCTTCAAAGCCCTTTTACTGTTTTTTTTTACCGAGGTTAAAGGTTCGGCAGACCAATAACAGCGAGAAGGTTTCAAATCGATCAGGCCACAAGCCATCAACTTCAGACATTAGTCCCTACGAGGGGTAAGTTGAGATCTCAGTCTGTTAACGAACTATATAGCCCTTCAAATCGTAAAGGTTTTATCATTGGTTAACATTAATAAGGCTCTACATGTAGTTATTCATTCCCCGGCCTTTACGCTACCCACGTACTCCCCCACTCTCACTCTGCTCTCCTTCTTCTTCTTTTCACTTTTGTATTTTATTTCCCGTTTAAACGCCCATTCCGGTACCTGTACTAGTTGGTTAATGACAGAATAACTGGTCTCCACGTCTCACTTAAGCATAGGTTCGATGCAACATTCTAGTTCCTCTGTAAGTGTTTTATTTCACCCCCCAATCAAGCCTTTAATACATTATACATAAAATCATAAACCTATAGCTAATTCATACAAATTAAATAAACAAACCATTACTTCTCCCCCTCAACATACACATCTACCCTCTCTACGCTCTGGTGCGTCTCAGGATTAGCATTATTGCGTTTATCAGATAGCTTCCTTATCATATCTTGGAGTGGCGATGTCTCGAATGCCTGGTCGACAGACTCGAGAGAGCGACCTTTCGTCTCAGGCATGAAGAAGATAAAGATCACTAATATGCCCATCAGTAACATGCAACTAGAGCTAAGAATAGGGAAATTCTGCAAGAACGTACAAACTGCGAAAAATGTGGACCCTCCCCACAGGAAATATGGCCCCGAGGATGAACTCGCCAGGAACATCGGCGTCGTAAACGCGACAACCCAATTAACACTCTATTAATACCCAGTTAGTCATGACTGCCCTTCCATGAGGAGGATGGGTAAAACGTACCCAGTTTGCCGATAATGAAAGACTACTAGCAGCTGCTCTCGTCTTGATCGGCTGGATTTCAGTCACATATATCCTGCACATGATAGCGGTTGTTGAACAAAATCCTATCAGGAAGAGGTAGATCAATGCAATGACTGCATATCGACCGTGCTCGGTGCTGTTGGCGCCAGATGCATAGATACCACCAATTGCGACCATTGTCGCAGCACAGAAACCATTGCCAAATATCATAGTCGGTCGGCGTCCCCTATACTAGCGGTTAGCTATAACACTATATGAGTGGTGATATGGCTACTTCTTACCACTTGTCTGTGAAAAACTGGGCAATGATCGTAAAAACAACGTTCACCAAGCCCGAAACACCACTCGCCAGAAAACTAGCATTTGTGCTGCTCAATCCCGCCTGCGTAAACAGCACAGGAGCATAATAAAGAAGCCCATCAATTCCGGTAAGTTGCTGCATTCCGCTCATAAACACTCCCAGAGATGTCCTCCCTCTTGTCTCTTTTTCAAACATCAATTTCGTGTCATCAACCAATTTTCTGAACCATCCTCTGGAGTCTGAGTAATCCTCATCACGAATCAATGTCAGTATCTCCTCCTTCTCGATATCAGTTGAATTCTTCGTTATTTCAAGAACTTCAAGCGCTGCTAGTGCCTCTTCTTTGCGGCCAACATGGAAAAGCCACCTCGGCGAGTGCGGGAGGAAGAGACAGCCAACACAAATTCCACTTGCAATAAGTGTCTGACATGCGAATGGCAGTCTCCAGGATAAGGAACTATCGATCCTCAAGCTCCCGTAGCAAATGAAGTACCCAGCGCAGATGCCCAAACAGATGCCCAACTGCACCAGGGATGCAACTCTCCCGCGTGCCTTTCCGGGCGTCACTTCAACCGCATAGACTGTGATGGGAGACAGGAAGATTCCCTCGCCCATTCCCGCGAATATCCGTCCAATAAACAGCATTGCGAGACCCTCAGATCTCCCACCTCCAAAGCCAGAGAGGCACTGTAGCAGTGAACCGATTGCGTAGCAACCTGCACCAAGGGAAATTGCGTACGTTCTGGAAATTCTGTCTGCAATTGGGCCAGCTACTAGGGAGGAGATACAGGCAGGAATGAGGATCATGGATATGACAAGACCGTGGAGAGTGGGTGAGAGAGGACCGAATAGGTCTTGGAAGTATGGCATGAGGGTAACGGGCCCAATCGAGCCCGTATCGAAGCTACAAAATGTTAGTTTCTGAGATTGAGAACTTTGCTTTCTGGCAGAATAACAAACCCATAGATGAACCCTCCGAGTGAGACGAATGCTGCGCATCGCACATACACCGGCATGTAGAGGTATTCCCTCATACGACTCAGTAGTGAGGTCCCCATTTATGTGACTCGAAAGACGATAGGATACTTCTCAAAGATATATTTATCGTTTTTCTTTCTGGGAAAAGACTTGCGTACTTATAAAATTCAAACTGACGACTTGCTCTGGCGACTTGAACAAATGATGGGGGTTTCTCTCACTACCTTTTATACTCAATCCAGCACTAACCAATTCTTCTGTCACGGTGCCTATCGCAAATAAAGAAAAGATTAATTTTTTCCACTAATCCTTATCAAAGTACATATTATAACCGGCGCAGAGTATCCCGCGAGTGCATGTCGGACCACAGTGCGCCGGAAGCTACCTGGTGGCGCATTGTGTCCCCTACTCTAAAAGTGCAGTAGGGTGGTGCAGTTACCAGGGGAGTACCGAGAAATCCTATTAACTAGCACTATTTCTTCTACTTGATGGCATATTGGCTAATCAAGTAAATGATTTTTTTTTTGAAAAAACATACCGGAATAAGTAGGGCTTTTTCGTTCGGGTCTCGGATTACTTTGTTCGCTTAATACGCTTATGCAAGGCTTGAGTTTCTAAGAATGATAGTAGGTGAATAAATGGGGGGTGCACATATGATTGATAGAGGACCGATACCGCGTCTATGCTCTACTTGTGGTAGAAGTCGGTGCCGAGTGGGGTTGGTAATGACTTTTTTTCTACCTTGGCGGCTGCAACTGCCTGGTATCTAGGCCCTGGAATGCACATGTCAGAATTCCTTTCTTTGATTAAGCAGCCCTTCAGCGATGGTCATGCTTAATATAATTTAAAGGGAGGACCCGAAAGCTGGAGGCTGCAAGCCTCTTCTTACCGGCGACCGAACTAGTGCGATACAGCAGCCGGGGATCTGAAGAAGTTCTTTCTCGAGAAACCCTAATTTTGAGATTTAGAAAGAAACTGGATTTCGGAAAGCTTTCCGGGAGGCAGGTATTCAACGCTGCACATCCCCAATATATTTACCTTCTACAAAGATATGAACATCCGATATCGATACATATGAGTACGAAAATTCTTATCCCTATCAGCTGCATGATGCTAGCCCTAAATCCTTGTAGGTGAAAATCATAGCATGGGTGGTTTGCCACAACTACCCCTTGAGCTAGTGAAGCTGGCGGGGGCCACAGAGTGATCTGTGCGTCGAATATAGGCTATCCTCAGAGCTGTACTCACATTATTAGCAGTGGTCCCACGACCTCTGGGTATCAGCACGGTACATGTAGGTAAATCTGCCTAGTGCATAGGGGGCGACCCGCGTGATTGGGGTTGGTTCAAGGTTCAGGAATGTGCTTCCACCAGAAGGATTTTTTTCCGTAAGGAGAATTGGTAAAGGTGCATATATCAGACTTGACCCCACATGGTGTAGCTACTAATTCGACAATTACTCTCAGCGTGCTTTTGCGACACGATCTACCTAATCGATTTCTAATCAGAAATATTATACCAGGATTCACCAACAATTCTTCGATCAATTGCCTGTGTGGCTGCCACAAATCAACTAATAGCCCTATGGAAACTTATGAAAAAAAAGACGCCTCAAACAAAAACAAAAACAGCTAGTTGCACAGAAATAAGAAATCAGAAGCCAATACGCCAGCTGATCCTAAAAAGACGACCAAATGAGTATACCGTGATAGAATGGGAGGGGGTATAAGAGGGGGGATATACAGAGGCTTGTCTTGGCTCCCTCTAAAAAAAAAGCAAAAACCTGCAAGCCAATATCATTCGCTCGCAACCACCTCATTTGCGAATCGAGTGACAAGCTATGATCGTCTTTACTCATCCACACCGGAATCATCCATCTTGTTCCGACGCTGCGGATGGTTCCTTGTTTTTCGGCTTCTTCCTCCTACTTTTCCTCTTTTTCTTTTTCTTCTTTGGCGGGCTCTCTGCAGGCGCCTGCTCCTCCGCATCTTCTTCATCACTCGAGGATTCCTGCTCAATCAGGGCCAAGTCCCCATTCTCGCCCAAGCAGCTCTTGACTGTCTCTTCCAACAGCATTCCTAACATTCCTCCCCGTCAGCACCCTCCAGATAAACACGGCAAATCAGGAAAACTAACCAACAGCCAACAGCGCGGTCTCGTCCATACTCCGATAACTGACCGCCCCCATCCCATGCGCACCATAAAAGTCTGCGACATACTGATGGACCGCAATCAACAGATCCTGCCCACCACCCACCCACCAGGTTAGTCACCGCGCCCACCAAGCACAACCACAACCACACCCACAAACAAACTCACCGAATCCGGCAGCCCCTCCCCACCTCCCTCCGCATACGGGATCGGCTCTTCGGGCGCGTTCCTTCGCCGTCCCAACACCTCGTCCGCCGTCTGGGCCGTCTGCGACCGCTTATGGAGCTCCCCGTGCGTGTCGTGGGTGCGGCGCGAGTGCACGAAGCCTTCGTAGTTGACGCGGTTGGCTACCGCGTCGTACACGGTTGCGTGGCGGGTGCCGCGGCGGGAGCGCGGGTCCGGGTCTGGGTCCGGGTCCGGTGATGCGGAGTCGGGCGAGGGCGCTTTGCGTTTCGGCATCGTTGGTGCGTCGTTGCGAGGGCGAATGAGGAAGGGAAGGAAACTGTCTCTAGCAGAAACGGCTATTGAGCCGCACCTTAAATTTTTTAGGTGGCTTGGCGGTGCACGGGGGTGGAACCCTAGCCCTGGTTGTGACCGCGGGATATGGAGACAATGGCTTTAGAGGTATTGATATCAGAGATAGGAGGAGTGGTGAAGTGTTGGGAGCGGGAAAGTTGAGTAATTTGGATGTGGAGCAATCATTGACCTTGTTGACACAGATTGATAGAGGATCGACCACTCAAATAGTTGAGCTCATACCACGAGGCGCCTAAGGTACGGCTTATAGTCTGCTTGATGGCCCTAAAAGTCCCGAAAAAGACGAGAAAGACAAGTAGTCAATTAAAGAATGGACTCCCGATCTCTAGATGTTGTAGCTACATATAACTACAGCTCTCGTTCTAGCAAGTCTAGCCACATTACCTGAGGCCTCTATCTAAATGTGTATTTTTTCAGTCTTGGTATTCAGGCGAACTAGTTTTCGTCATCCAGACCCAGCCGGCTGCGGACTACTCACAACAATAAATAATAACGGCACGAAGCCATTATGACCTACTTCGAAACTCGAAGCAATAACTTAAGGAATACCTATCGGTTATTAATGCTCCCTCACCTTTCGCGCGCCTTGAGAGGTAAGATCGGTAGACTGCATACATGTAGTCTTGTAACGTAGCCTGATACCGGTAGTCACAGAATATCACTCGATTAAGGATACGGACAAATTACGAAAACCACTGGCCTTCGGGTATCCACTCTAGATAATTATAAAAATATACCCTTCCAGGACAGAGATAACGAATATACAGTCGAACTGAGGGTGTAAGAGAGCTCGAGGCACCGGTGGGCGAAAAATGCTCAAGCAAGGTCTCAAGAAAGAAAAAAAACGCAGGGAAAAAAAAGGTGATCTAAGTATATATGATAGAGAGTAACTCGTGTTCTAAGATAGGCGTGGAGTATATTACTCGCCACGCCGGGTTTCGTGGGTTGTGTCTGTACTTTGTCGTGATTTTGGCCCGATATTCCGATACGTATACTCTAATATGTTGATTCGACGGGGCAGGGTTAGGTACTTGTACGTCCGCAATTGCAGTGAAGGTCAACAGGTGATCTTTCTGTAGCTCGGAGAGGGAGATTATCAGTCTGTTGTATGTGTGTTCTGTTATGCATTCTTAGTTAGCTATAGTCTCGTACCCATCCTGACGGGCAGCTTTGTACGAGCCTAATTCTTGGTACACATGGAGAGGGAATTCGAATGGAGGCCATGGTAGCAAATCAGGGAGGGAAAGAAAGAAAATTATTGGCGTACTCATTCGATCCTGTCACTAGTATCTTCTATTACTAAATGTAGTAGAAAAACAAGACGGAGCGAACCCTTCCGCAAGCAGTCGCGGAGTGCTCTGCTCCGGGGCAGAATCTTGCTAGGTAATCTACATTTTGCCCCCCCTCCCAAGAAAAAAAAATAAAGAAAAGAAAAGAAAGATGCAACAAAAATTGGAGCTCATAAATCTTTAACCAACGCCTGCCTACATGCAACCCGACCTCCCACAACATCAACATGGTCGAATCATATCAATGATCGACCAAAACATACGAAAAAACAATCTAACATAACATGACCCAAGCCAGCCCCTTACAAAAAGTTGTTCCTCATCCTATCTTTGTGAGTCATCGTGTTGTTCGACTTGGTAGTCCTCCAGACGTTCGAGTACGGGTCGAAATCTGCGCGGCGATTGCGCGGGTACTCCAACAAGTTCGCCACATTGGTTGAGTTCTTCCCACCAAAGACTTCATTCACAAACGCAAATGTCATGTCCATGCCAGCAGCCTTTCCAGACGAAGACCAGATCTTCCCGTCCACGGTCCACCTAGCCTTGCGCTGCCAGTGAACCTTCTTTCCTTGCTGAACCGACCAGTTCCAGATCGCCTTGCTACTGGTAGCCTTCTTTCCATCGAGTATACCGGTCCTGGCAACAATCCCAGAACCAGTACCAACTGTGATGAGGTACTTGAGCCTGGGGTAGGTGCCCTTGATGAAGTCTATGTACGCCTGATCGATCTTGAAAGCACCGATACCACCGGGGACGATGAGGACCTCAAGGTCTTTGGAAGTTGTGGCGAACGTAGCAGTGGGCCAGATCTGCTGTGAGAAGCTGGAGCCGGCGTTCCAGATGTTTTTCATCTCAGGCCCCTTGGTGGAGACAGGTTGCCAGGTCTTGGAGATGATGGTGAGATCCATCTTGACGCTTTCAGAGAGCGTGTTGAATATATCGAGAGGGCCGAAGACATCTAGTGCCTGGAAGCCGGGATAGACCACGACACCGAATTTTGTGGGCTTTTTGGAAACTGGAATGATGGGTTAGCTATTTTGTAGGTTGGTTGTGATATTCTTTGGTTTTACTTACCACCGTCTCTGTCATCTGAGTACGGTCTCGAAAGGCGCCGGTTGCGATAATGGCGGCTAATATAGTCTTTGTCCTTGTACTTGTAGTCTTTGCCCTTGCCCTTGTAGTCTTTTTCCATATAGTCTCTGTCCCAATCCAGATCCTGTTCGTAATCATCATCATCGCCATAGCTATAGTCCCTGCTGAGAGCTTCCAAAGTTTCGAGTGCGGACAACGGACGATCAGCATCGTAGCCCACATCAGATCCAAAATCATGGTAGGCGAGTGCCGACGAAGCAGTCATGCAGAAAACGCTGAAATAAATTGCGGTCTTCATTTTTGTTTGTGAGTTGTTAAATGTGGTTATATAAAGAGTGTATGTAATGAACGAAACGTATCAAACGTATTTCTTGATCAACAAGATCTTAGAAAAGAAGGAAAGGAGCAACGATTGAAAAATCGAAAGGAAAGGAATTCGAGACCTCGATGATGTATGTATGGACGAGAGAGAGAAGAGGCACATTGCTCTGCCGGAGAAATCGACCGGTTTATATACATTTAGATCAAAAATCTTCACGCAATTAGTGAGCTTTTCACCGGTGTTGATGCCGTATCCGAATCCCACATCGTGAGATTTAAGGGCGTGATTTTTTCACCGGATAAGGGATAATAGCCTAGCAAACAATATACGAATAACGGTAGTTTTGTTCTGAGGCGATCTAAGACGCTCGGTCAGAGAATTTGGGTGTAAATACCATAAACCTTTTTACCGGTATATCGGTGAGCATTCATGACGTGACAGGTTTCCAGTTCAGGGAGACAAGTGCTAAGAATGGTAGTAATTGCTTAAATTATCATCCTGGTAATCCTGTGCCATGGTTACTCAAGTCAAGGGTTAAAGCGTTGGCGACGACATTGCTGCGCCAGCAACCCGCCGGTGATGAGCAAAAAATCATATCACAGCACCATACGCTCGCCAAAGAAAATTATTCCAGAATTTTATTTTATCCCTTCTCTCGCGTAGTAGCTAGGTTTATTTTCTGGGTTTTTGTTCTCGTTATATATCGCGAGATCACGAGAGTCGACGCTCACCGGAACTGCTGCATGTTGCAATTGCCAAGAGGAAGACGAGCTCCGACGCTCCAACTGCCATAGATCCGTAGAGCACCCGAAATCCCTCAGGTGATAAGAATATTAGTCGTTTCTTATCCCGAGCCCGTGAATCGGGTATGAGTTTTGTCGACTGCGAGCACTGGAATATTATGAGTGCAGTACCCCGGCCGGCCTGCTAGATACCAGATCGCACACCCCAAGAGTTTTTATTTCCATGGTTCCAAATCCATCATGCATAGCGTTTACTTTGGGCACGTGAGATATAGATAAATAAGTGCATCCGCCCATCCTGAAGCTTGAGAGCAAATCTAACTCATGGGAATACGGCTTCAACCTCTGACAGCGGTTCGGGAACATAGAGTTCTCGGCTTCTAGCTCAGCAGACCCGTCAGAGCCAGCCAGTAAGTGGTAGACTGTCGCCTTTATCTTCGCCTTCATAACTGTTGCGAAATTCAATACTAAGCCAGTCATTGTGGGGATTTGGTATCGTATATGCCTATGCCACACCTATTATGTGATAAATATCGTTAGAGCTAGAGCGGATCAACCAGCTTACGGTTGTTAGGCGAACGTGTAATGATCTCACTTATCGCCTTTTAACGGTGTGTGTTTGCAAGGTTATTTCACGTTAATCGTTCGAATGGGGAGGAACTATGACACGTATATAGTTCAGCTCTAATCAGTTGGAGTAGATGGACATCCAGACGGACGGCCTTGCAGGTATACGTACTAGGCCGAGTGACCATATATGTTCAAATCGATGATTATGACACATTCTGCGACAAAAAGGGAGGGAAAAGGAAATATATACATGTATAGCCACTCCAAAATCCACATCTCAACCTTTGACTCTAGGGAAGATATGCTTAAAAGTGCAGAGTGTATGCAAGATGGGCGCTTTAAATTGCCCTTACCGAAGGTCATACACTCATTAACGTATATGCGGCTACCGAGAAAGAGCAGGTATCACAGCTTACCCCACCAGAATAAGGCTTTCAGATTCTTCATGTCAAATAACTTGCATCAATTGGCTGATTAGTTAGTCATTGACTGTTCCAAGACAAGGCTGAAAAACTCTTTCAGTTTGCCTCAACTCCCAAGGCCGAATCCACGATACAGGGTTATTTCATGCATTGCTGTAGCCCCGATCAAAATGGGTACTCTACCTTACAGAATTTACGTCTGGTGAGTTCCTCTGGTTGGCCCAACCTCCTAACTTCCTACTCGTGTGTGGTAGAAAGAACGAAATATGAACATGCTTAATTATAAAACATTAAGGGTTATATATTTGTATATATGGCAGAACGGCGCTACTCCGTACAAATAATCTCTGTACTCGTCACTTGTATTTTCTGGTTGAATTAGAATATCTTTCTGCTTAATTATACATATGAGCACTCAGATTATACGGTAGTTGACGACAAGATCACGGAGCGAATACTGCGGGGTATCTACATGTAGTAGCCTCGATTGAAGGGACGGTATGTTCTAATGAATGGGTGGCTTGAAGCGTCTAACTGATATCTTAAACCAGACTCAATCATGCTTAACGGAGGTAATAATTGACATGTGAGAAAATTTAGTATTTACTGAGGGGTTGGCCTAGACTGGAAAGTTGTACTCTCGATCTCACTCATGCCATGGTACATAGAGACGACATGAAGTTACGTTCATGTACTAGACCATGGGGGTTTGAGGCTCAACACAAATTTGTCCAATTCGCATGCAGGGGAGTATCCAGTCCAGCGGGTAGCGGGGCAGTCAAATCTGCCTCGCATAAGACTTACCTGTTGAACGGCCAGTAACAGAGCTCCATTCATAGTAACACAAAAAAAAATTTGATTCCAAGACTTCAAGTCAATTGGCCGATTAATTAAAATCAGTTTGATCGGCCGGCAAACACTTATTCACTATTGAACTACATACATACCTAGTTCATGAAGAGACATAGTCCATACAAACTCTTCTCTAAAAAGAGTCTAGACCTGTGTATGGGGGTGCCGAACAGTTGCAGTGCGAATATATTGCATAAAGACGCCTAACCCTCGATCGCAGCTTGCTGTGATACTTGTACGTCAAATTTCTCGGATTACGTATGTAGTTCAAATAGTAAGTCCTTGATGGTCGGCTTCCCCCGGATTTTCGAAGTTGAGAGTGGCCAAAACTATCTAATCAGAAGAACTACATGTACTATTTAGTTTGTGGACAAAGGATCCTGTCCGGTATACCCGCCATACACGCACAAGTCTAATAATGGGGCACCAACAATCTGGCCTTTACCAACGAGGTTGGCACCTTAAGCCACCGCATGAACTGTCGGGATTATGTGTATATATAAAAAAAATCAAATTCCGCCATTATTTCACTGTGGGGTAAATTTTTTAAAAAGCGTCCTAACGAGCTATATACGTGCAAAACCGAGGTTTCTACTAATAAGTAATTTTAGGGTTGATGTCAGTACTGATACTATTGAAAGAGGAGTTTGGGAATCTCAGATCTCTGCATACTTGTATATACATGATGTATATATAAGGATGACCCGGAGCGCGCTCCGAGCCAGGCTTAAAACGGACAGCTTATAAGGACGCTTTAGAGTACTGGTACGATCTTTTCTCCAAGGCTACTACATGTATATACATGTATCTTTCGTTATTTTTTCGTATCAACCAATATTAAGCTCCTTGATAGCCCGAATACCTCCTGAACAGGAGTTATCCGCATGTAAATAGTATGATTGTAATCCAGGTCTTTACATATTATTTATTCCCACGCATGTGGCTCGTTCTCTTATATAGCTGGTGATGCCTTCTGTCCATTCGCCATTAGCCGAGAACGACTGTAGTTGTGCGCTGAATGTTGTACCCGTTGGAGTAAACATTTGATAGAGATACCCGCACCCGCCCTAGGCCTCTCTATCTAGCCTAGACCGTTGTGACAGGGCTAGATCACCTGCCGTCATTACATGAGGCTGCAGTCCACTGGTGAATGACTTGAGCCAGCTATCGAAAGTCCAAGTTCGCAGAATCCCCTAGAGGGCTTAGCCCACATATATAACCTTATTTAACCCTTATACAGACCATAGGTTTATAAGGACCTCTTTGGTATATAAGCTCTTTTTTAAGGCAGTTTTAAGGCTTACTTAATACTTAAAACACGCTTAAATCACACTTATTATAGTGAATAAGGCTCTTATAATCCTATGGTGTACTAAGGTTTATATGAGGGCTTATAAAAATACCCGCTCGGGCGGTAAAGTATTCCCCGAAGACCAAGACCAAATACATTTTATCAACGGTGGCTATTTTTTGCACTTAAAGAGAACTATAAGTAACTCTCACCCCCCAGTCCTTCTTGATGAATCAACCCCTTTCAGTAATTAATATTCGATATATCCAAACACTCAAACTCTCGATGCCATCCCGCTCCTCAGACAAATCCTCTATGATTATATCCATTGTTTCACTCACGTGTTCCATGGTTTCTGCTATTGCCGATTTCTTAAGTCTCTTGGGTAGTACTCACACGAAGTTCCGGCCTTGGGAGTTGATGGTAATATAATTAACCCCCCGTTGATCTATCGATACAACTCATGAAAACTAACTATGCTGTTAGAAAAAAAAAGAAAAACACGATGAATTTCTCAACATGATAAAAGCCATGGAAGCAGGATACACCCTCAACAAATCTGCCTCCCCTCAACTAGGTGTAACTACAATTATCACGAATTACAACATTGGTCAGCTGCATGTTGTCATCCATCCTCCGGATCCCTGCGTACACTCATGTGGTGTGGCTGGATCACCTTTCGGCCATTTTAGTCAGGGATTGAAGTAATCGATGCGAATATTAGCATTGCAAACTTGTAAGTCAAAGAGCTCAATTTATTAGATATTCATTCGCTAACTCAGAAAGTGAAAACATAAATGCTTCGCGCTTTGGCGGTAGAGGTCTTATTTGGACAGTTACGAGCCCGAGCCCAACGATTCAGGAGTCATCGGGAGTGCCGTTTATCATGCATGATTGTTGGCATGAGAGTCGAGTGGTATATCCGGTTTGGGATAAGGACTAGTTCAGTCGTTCTTTCGTTTTCCTTGGTCACCCATTTTCCCTGCTCCTAATTTTAAACATAGACCGGCAGACTAGATAAGAAAATTCCAGTCCTGGAAGTCTCAAAACTCAGCGTTCGCTAAAATATCCCCCAGAGATAGGAGTCTTTCTTTTGTTTATTTCAGAAATTGAAAAACATTGTTCCCCAAAGAAAGTACCAGGCTTGGAAGACCAATATTGCATTGTGCGCTATTCATGCGGATTTGAGTTAAATGAGAGAGCTCAGTATGGCTTGGATTGCGGGAATCACTGCCAGTAATAAAAATCAGATCTTGATACCAAACTAATATAGTTCTTGGAGTACGTCTTCGCGCCGGCAAAACACACCAGGGTTGGCCGGTTCTCTAATCTTCAATTATTCTCTAAAAACTATAAAACTTTCAGGATAAGAAGATATATAAACGATACAAGAACATACATTCTGAGAGATAATTTGATTTACCAAGTACATGTAGATATGTGGGCTTTGAAGTATCTACAGATTTTGAGGCTTGGGCCGATTTTGCCAAGGCTTTATACAAATTCTGGGTCTTGACAGCTTTCATTAATTCACCAACGCTACAACAATTATTTTTGGAATTCAAGACTGTCAAGTTATATCTTGAAATTGCGGGCTCTAAAGCTATTCAGAAAGGGTGATTTCGGCGTTTTTTGGTGTGACTTTGCTTCGTGACGGTGATTTTAATTACGTCACCGTCTCGGAAGAGTCACCGCCTTTAAAGCACAGGCTATCATAGTTCTTGAGATAGGATACCGCCTCAAGGCAACTTAAGGGCCTCCAGGAAGAACAGGGCAGATTAAATTAGTCTCACAGACAAGGCCGCCACTGTTAAACCCAAGTCACATGACTCATATTCGTTTTGAGGGGCGCGCACCGAGATAGTCCGCACAACTCCGTTAGTGTGGTCCACGAGGCTGATATATGCGGGCAAAGGTAATAAATGCCTCGAGCTGCCTTTGCTTCATCAAGGCTATATCTTATCCTGGTTACATAAATAAAGGTGTAGCTACATGTAGTCCTTGGTCAGCAGCCATCGTTTTAAACAAAAATATGTAGCCAAGAAAGCGGATATTTCGAACGTTTCCACTGATAATATAATTGAAGCATGCAAAAAAAAAAAAAAATGAAAATATATAAGCTACGGTCGGAAACATCACTAATATATAATCAGGTGTTATTACCTGGGTGTCGACGCGAGTGCATAGAAGATTCCCAAGGAATGTTCTGGTGTTTGTACCTAATTGCGAAGCTGTGTAAGCTTATGGATCATGCATATATTTTGGAGGTTGCGGTTAGTTTCAGCCGTGGTATATAAATGCTTGGCAGAGCCATGGTATTCTATCTAGCTAACGAGTGAGATTTCGTGACTCAATCCATAAGCTACATAATATTTCCGGGAAATATATTCCGTATACAGAAAACCATTCCTTTGACGGTTTTAATCGAGGATGAGTAACCTTCCAAGTCGATCTCTCGGTTCATGGGGACTCTGCCCGAAAGATCTTCCAAAACGAAATGTGGTTGACATTGAGGAGTACAGACAAGCAAAGACCCTGAGGTACAAAAAAATGTGGTTTAAAGTAAACCACTGTGGGGTTTACTTGCATTGGCCGCGGTTGCGCCATGGGGTTTAGGTAAACCCCACAGTGGTTTAATTTAAACTCCACGGTGGTTTACTCTAAACTCCAATGTGGTTTACTCTAAACTCCACAGTCGTTTACTTTAAACCCCACGGTCGCTTATGATTGCTGAACCTAAGAGGATATAGGGACCCTGGATCGGAGGGGGTGACTACATAGCTTGTTTCGTACTCAGAGTGGCTTGACCAGAACGGAGCGGCGCACGGCGCACTTTATGCACTCTGTACAAACCACTCTGAGCAAGAGATGAGACGCCCAGCTGCAGCCATGAGAACTACTACTACAGTCATGGTGATTTGGTAATGAAGGTGGGTTGAGGATGTGGAGGGAGTTGGGGGAGTGTAGCCGTGCCTGTTAAAGATGCTATGCCCTTTTTTCTGCCCGGCACGTAGGGCATACCCTAATCTATATGAGATGACCAAGTTTAGGTAGGGGTTGTGATAGAGTTTTGCAAGAGAGCATGGTGAGTTGCAATTAGCGTCACAGGATATCACTCGCACCATGATCCACACTAGACCTTGCTAGATGAGACCACCAATATCGCGGGTTTGGTTTTCGGTCCCGTTTTTCACTCTGGCTATGTGTTCTCACTGTTGACGAACGTCTATGGAGCTTCTCGTATTGTATACTCGATCGAGCGTTTGTACCCGACTGTAAAGCATCTACGCCATTGAGGAGCACTCGGATATTCTCAAGCACGCGAATCCGTGAACCGCACTGCGCCCATCCATCAACCCTAAGCAAAAATCAGTCAACCAGCACATTAACTCTTGATACCGGGGGTTGTACCTTCCATGGAGGGGGAAGATCTGTGCTCCGTCGGAACGCCATCACTCACTAGGAACAAAGAGGACGAACAGGGCGATAGGATGAGAACTCAACCGCCTTCCATATCTTGGACTCATTGGTAACTGCAGTTGAGATGTTAACGACTGAAGGATGAAGAAAATGAAGAAAACAATCTTGTTAGGGAAAGGGACTCCTCATTGCCAAATTTCTGGGCTATTGACGTTTTAGCAATTCTCTATTGAATGATGAGCGGCGAGAGGGCGTGTACTTATCTACTTACACAACCATGCAAAAGACTGGTGGCTAGTCGCAGCGAAGTCACAAATGTGCACTTAGTCACGGTTTATTGACAGACACCACAGGCACGGCCCCCCAAATGCGCCAGCGTACATGTACATTCTGCATAGCTACGTCTACGGGACCGGAGTCACCGGACACCATTTTGAGAGCACCTAGTCCATACTTGCAGCGGAGCTTTAACCAACTCTATGCATCGATCAAGCATAGCCGCAAGTCTCCCCCCAAGGTGGATCGAGCCCAGCACGCCCCGGTCCAAGGAAGATAGACCGGTTCACCATATTATCATCTCTAGATCCATTCCGAGCACCGTCGTACACGATTAACCCCGATGCGAAGTCGAGATTTCCCAGGAAGACCCGCCAACTCGACTCGTGCCTTGCGTGATCGAAGTATTAATTTGACAACCGTTTTGAAAGTTTTACTAGTGTTAAGGATATGATTGTTGGATCCGCAAAAAAACGCCTGGGGTAGCTGTATGTGCTAACGATTCAGATAGAGGAAGTTAATCAATTGAGGAATCGGCTTGAAGTTGCGCTTTCAATACCTTGGATGGTATATGAATTCAATCAAAGAGATAATGTATTTACTTAATTGAGCCGATAACTATTCTCAGTAATTACTCCTTCCTCTATATGTGGAAACCGCAAGCCGCCTCTAGACGTGAAGGTATGTTTTATCGGGTTTGATCGACCTTGTGGGTGGCTGCCTCGAGGCGGCATCGTATCTCCACCTCACGGACCACACTGGTCATTCGGCGCCCATTACTTGTCGACAAGTAACCGGAATACGTAGTGCTATGGCCATGGTATTCCGGCATTTCTATTGTTGCCAGTTGTCTTTTACGGCTCCGATGGTGTTTTAAACCACTTATACAGAACACTTGTTCTTGCTCCTAATTCCGCTATAAGAGGAGCTTGTTCCTACCTGCTTTCTTCATCTTCGGTTCAATCTCTCAAGTCATTCATCGGTAAAGATCACTCGGGGTGGGGTGAATCGCTCAGGAACGCCCCAGCTCACTTGTCAATACCGCCCGCCCGGCCCGGGCCGCTAGTCTTAAGCCACCCCGCCATTAGTCTGGGTCTAACAGAGTTCGTTTGCCAGTTCTGGCAAGCCCATCTTCATATGCAGTTGGGTTCATTGGATCTGATCATACCGCCGCCGCGCCGTTGTGGGCCGGGTCTGTTTTTGCGGGACTGAAAGCAGAGGGTAGGATGGATCATATACCTATGTTGGCACCGGGGGCTGAGGATAGTTTGTAAATTACTTACGTCAATCCGATTTCGTACGGGACCTACTCAGCCTTACGCGGACTTCAATGAGTAATGTTTCAGGAAATACATCACTCCTTCAATTCACGATCACGATGTAGTCAAGTAATTGATATCGAATAACAACTGCATCTAGCCTGGCCGGTCTCATGCGCGCGGGCGATCTGCACTTCGTTAAACGAAAGCTTATTTTCTCCCCGAGACAAGCAGAGAACTCTATCGGAATAAGCAGAGTAAATCTGTCTGACAGTCCGCAGTGCAGAAGTTCATCTGCCATCAAGACATTGATTGATATCTCGAACTCGGAATTGGGGTGGAGAGCAGCACCCTGCAGTACCTTACCTTAGCTCAGTAGGTACCTTTTACCTTTTCGGTTGAGTAAGCTTAACTCGCTCTTCCCCATCCGGCATAGACTCAGTTCGGAAGTGGCCGAGCCAGCCATAGTTAGCCCAAACCTTAATCTTGGCGCGTGAGGTGGTTTGCGCAGATTTCCTCATGCGGGATCTCACTCGCTCGCCCGCCACTAAGAACGTCTACTAATCAACCAACCCCACCAAAGCTAGGTGAGCGAGTGAGCCAGTTTTTCTTTTCTTTTTTGCTTCCGGCCGAAAAGAATGAAAGAAAAGAAAAATGCACTCTCCAGCTTTTGGATCCCGCCTGCGAAAGATAAAGAACGGGGGAGAGGAGAGATCGTGCAATGGGTTTTTTTTTTTTGTGCTGTTCCCCAGGATTCGGGCTCTTCCGAACAAGACTTCTAAAACACCGATGGCGAGTGATCTTCAGAAGATAAAATGAAAGGGAGCTGCCTGTCTCCTTTGCGATTGTAGTTCGTGGGCTCTGTTTGGCTAGAGGTGCTTTTACTCTGTCAGGGAAGGGAAGGTCCTGATCACTGAACCCTGGGAGGGCCCCAGGGTTGGTTTATGGTTAACGTTAGGCTCATTTGAACCTCACCCATTAGTTAGGTGGAAACCCGCTCATGAAGGCTGGCTGGAGGTCTTTATATACTATTAGCTATCCTATAAAATAGATTCACCCTTCTCTTCCACCCACATTTCCACTCATCCTCCTCATCCTTCTCAATCATCCCCCCGTATCAAGTTCAATCCGTGATACCCCAAATATAAAACATGAAGTACTCTCTTGCCCTCCTCTCCCTCGCTGCGGCGGCCGTTAACGCCCACTTCTCCCTCACCTACCCCACCTCCCGCGGCGACTCCGACGAGACACAAGCCGAAAGCCCCTGCGGTGGCCTCAACACGCCCTCCTCCGAGCGCTCCCTCTGGGGCATTACTGGCGGCACCCTCAAATTTGAAGCCGGCCACGACGAAGCCAAGACCGCCGTCTATCTCGCCATTGGTAACGATCCCTCCGCGAATGACTTCAACATCACCCTCGAGAACGTCTTCATGCAAATTGGACTAGGCACCTTTTGCTGGAACACCTTGAGTATTCCGGACGGGACCCCGGGCGTGGCCGACGGTGTCAATGCCACTATCCAGGTCGTGCAGGCAGGCCATACGGGTGGAGGGCTATACAATGTTTGTCTTACCCTCTCTTCTCCATGCGTGATGTTTTGGTAACTGACTTCAATCGGATCTAGTGCGCGGATATCACCTTCACCAAGGACCCAGTAATGTTGACACAAGACTGCGTGAACGGGACCGGCGTCAGCGCCGAAGCTATTGCTTCCTCCTCGACCGCCTCTGCTTCTACCACTACCGGCACCTCGACATCGACATCTACCTCCACCAGCTCCACTTCTTCTTCCCCCAACGCTGCCCAGAGCTCTAGTGCTGCGGCGGCGAAGCTTGCGGCCGGCGGTAGCGTGCTGTTTGCGGGTCTGTTGGCTGCGTTGGCTTTGTAGCCTGGGAATAACCTTTTTTCTTTTCTTTATGTATAGCTACGTAATGGCATGATGTGGAATATGCTATCAACGATGGGTCTTTCTTCTTTTTTTTTCTTTCTCTTTAATTCGGGACATATGGGCTTTGTATTTGGGGGTAAATACAACAAATAATTGGGAATCATAACTTATTCAAGTGCTTCGGGAAAAGAAAATACTTTGTGCGTGACCTGGAATATATATGTAGCTTGCCTTTTGATCCCCAGCTGTGAAATTGGCCAGGCCTTGTGATCTTTGTGGGGGACAAGTTAATTGTGCGCTCACCCGGCCGTGGTATCCTTCAATTCAGTGTCAGTGTCTGTGAACAACTCATAAACCTCACCCTCGATCGTGTCTCCTTCCCGATATTGAAGAGGTGGTCGTGGAAAGTATCCTACCGGGTGCCGGTTGCCAAGATTGTCAAAAACACCCGGTTGGATATGCGCCAAGGCAGTTAGGGACCTGTGTAGCTGTCTGGTCCTGGTGATGCTTCGGGATCCAATAGCTACATGGTTTTGCTTCTACGTGCATGTATACTGCTTTTCAGACGTATGGAGCTTTTGCTTGATGGGGTATATCAAAATTGCGAAGTCTTTTTTGTTTAGTAGCTAAACTTGCAGTGCGATCATTTACAGCCATGGTTGAAAACTACATTTCAAACAAAAACCAAAGCCCAGAAACACCCAGAACCCCTCCCAAACAGTACATAGTCACAAAAAAAATACAAGACAAAAGGGAGGCAAGCATTAATTCCTGCATCTATAGTAATCAGTAGTAAATTCCATCGCTCTAATGGTCCCCACTCTTGATCCAGCGGCCCCATGCCAGTTCACCCGCGAATATCCCACCGAGAACAGCCATAAAATATCCTACATTGAAGGTCATTACCGCCAACATTCTACCAGAGTCAGTCTCGTCTCACAACAGGCCGGAAGCAGACATGGATATATACGGAATACTCACAGTAAGTATCCAACTCCAGAGACCAGCACCGCCAATCCCGAGCGCGGCAGGTCGACACTCCACCTCCATGGTTTCGCCGCCCACAAACCCTTCTCATTCTTCTCCGCCACTACCACATTCTCTTTAGGGTTTCCTATGCCACTATCCTGAGATTGTGACGACGATACAGCAACCAGCACCTTCCTCTCTGAATCCAACTTTCCCCACCGGTGCTCTAACACGCTACGGTAGGCGACCAGAAAGCGGTAAAAGAAGGCGAGAAAGATGAGGAAAATTATGGTGCCAGCGTATTGGCCTTGCGTCTTGGGAGTCCAGGCGGTAGAGTAGAGGGCGTCCGAGATGGAGGTGTGGAAGGTCATACTGGCCATGCTCATGCTCATGGTGCTGTCGCTAGAGGACATGTCCATACCAGCGTGGGATGAGGAGGAGGACGACGAGGTGTCGGAGTGAAGGGTAAAGTCGGCGGCCATTGAGTCGTGTGAATCGTGACGGGGATAGAGACTAGGCATTTTTGTTATATTTATTAGTTTTACAGCAAAAAGAATCGAGTTTGCACAGCAAGACTAATGGACAGACTGAAGGAGCTGGCCAAAATATAAAGTATGAAGATGACTTTAAAAAACACACACACCTTAAATTAAAATAAGCTTAAATTCCAAGACACAGAGATTGTCCCTGATATGCAGTCCTAAAACGGTGGAAGAAAGGAAGGAGTGTTTGAGAGAAGTGTCAATGATGTCCTGTCGGTTGGATTGATTGAATGCAAGGGACCAAGGGCAAAATTTGGAATAGAGAAAAACGAGGAGCGCGCGTGAGTGAGGGGTGAAGGTGTTTTTGTTTAGGGCGCCGATGGTAATATCTGATATTAGAACCCTCTTACTTGACTTGGCTGCGGCGGGGCTGGCTAGTGCGCCAGTTTGAGAGGATTATGTTGGTTGATCACTGCCTTAAGCTGCAAGTGCAAAGGGTCCGTTATTTAGTAGCCTGGGGCAACATCCTCGCTTCCCTTTCTTCATTCCTTTCTTCCCTTCCTCCCTTCCGTTATTTCTCATTCTTAATGCCTAGAAGCTCGTTGTTTTTCTCTCCTAAGTCGAGTCTCTTCGCACTTTGAAACCACGGAGGTCTACCCCGGATTCGACATTGTCACAAAACCACCGTTTGCTTGGCGGCGGCACGTCTCGTCTCACACATTTGGAATCTGCACCTTGGCGGTCTAGAGATGTAGAGATTGATTGCGCAGGGCCACGCCAAGGCTGAATGTCAAACTACACTCCCAATGTCTTCAAACTTGGTGGACTCGTGGAGTGGTTCATGATACCGAGATCGATGAACCCACTCAACCTGGAGACGAGAGATGTAACAGAAGAGGAGGCTGGATTCATGGAAGTTATTGTATGCCATATCTGGTTCTAAAAGATGTATGTATGTACTTTCTATCAGGCCACGGTATTTAGTGGCGCCGGATGACACGCCTTTACATGTATATCAAATTTCAGCTCTATGTGTGATTTAGGGTGAGACTTGATAAAGCAATTCAAGCAACTGCATTCGGCATACCACATTGGAAATCACTCGACAAATACTGCCAGTTGACGAACAGGTATACGTACTTTGGACAAAAGTATCTAGAGTTGAGACCTCTGTTTCTTGGCTGTTTCTACAGCCCACGTCTTAAAATTGTTGCCTTTTTTGCCGAGAAGATTTTTTAGTTCGTTTAGACGACTGTTTGCTGGTTTCAAGGCCCAATCACCGATTCTACGATCATAAATCTCGATCCATACCGTAAAGTTCCGATACAGTAATATTATATATCACATAGCTGCGCCGCGGGTAGGGATATGATCGAATGATTTTCTGTGACGCCAACAGGTGCTACATCTCTAGGTTTAGACAAGCGCCAAGATTTGAGATTTGCACTCCTTAAACATGTAGGTACATACATAGCTGCTACCTACATGATAGACTAATGGAGATCTCATCTTCGCTTCTTTCTCGCCATGGCTCAAGCCGAGATCTGTGCCATGTGGGATCAAGAACTTGAAGTTCTGGCTCAACGCGATGTTTATTTTGAATTTCCTGGTTCCTGTTCCGCACTTTGTATGTAGTTTGGATGCGGTGCGGGAGTTTGAGCTCAATCCTGGTGATGGGTGGGAGGTACCCTGGCTTGTGGGTGAGCATGTTTCGGCCCAAAATGGGTTGGCGCTCTGAGCAGGTTGGCGACAGAACGGGGAAGTGGGATACGCCAAAAACCCACCCCACATGGGAAAGAAGGAAAACTTCAGGCAAGGACGATGTATTGGAATGGATTAGGTGAATAAAGTACAGCTATGGACTGACTGGGGCTGGGAAATGCAGGAAGACTGTCTTGACTGGCTTACGAGTAACCCTCTCAATTGTGAGCCTGTTTCTTTTGCTGCAGATTATTGGATCTTGAGTAACAATATTGGCTCTCGACTGAGAGTATCTGTCTGCTACCTACTATCACTTATGTCCATCGAACTTTGAATCGGAATTTATTCTTACTTATCATTTGCATGCAGTCGTTTCGCCTCTGAAGAGACTACTCCTTTCGCCTTCATTATTGCCCTTTTCTAGCGTTCTCTATCTGAAGCTCACCCTCAGAAAGCATGTCCCACGCCGGCCATGATCTCCCTACAGACCCGTACATGGCCAAAGTGTATTGGATGTTTGTCGGCGGAGCCATAGCATTCGCTTCAGCCATCCACGTCGCCGACAGACTGCTATGCCATCAAAGGTACTTCCCATTCTCTTTAGCCCCATATAGCTTATTCATTAACCACCCACCTAGGCTTTCCGCCGCCTCAAAAGCCCTCCTAGACCCAGCTCGTCCTAAGAACCTGTTACTGCGTTGGTATTCTACGGCCACTGCAATAACCCGGGAAGCAACATACTACACCGCGCCATTTATACCTTCGCTGCAAAAGCGCTATCCACGACTGGCGACACTCCCGCAATTCGGAAAAATATTGTTGATTGCAGCCAATCTTGCATTGCTGCTTTCGTTAGCATCGTATGGCTTCCAACCTACCAACAGACGGCACTGGGAACCCATGGGAGTACGGGCAGGTTGGATAACACTTACTCAGCTTCCCTTAATCTTCCTTCTCGCCGGCAAGCGCAGTATACTTGGATATGCCACTGGAGTCTCTTATGAACGACTAAATTGGATTCATCGCTGGGTAGCACGGACCATGTTTCTCACAGCATCGGTCCATTTAGGTAACTTCCTACGCACGTGGAACCAATACGGCTACATCGAAAGGAAGTTCGAGATCGACCTGATATCAAGAAGAGGCCTGGGGGCATGGTGTGTGCTGTTGTGGATTGTTCTCTCAAGCTTCGCACCGATAAGGGGATGGAGGTATGAGTTCTTTATTATACAGCACATAGTGAGTGCGGTTGGGTTTGTTACTATGGTTATGCTGCACACGCCCACAAAGGCACATCAGTACGTATGGGTACCGGTCGGGATATTCTTCCTAGATCGTTTGATTAGATTGGTTTTCATGGTGTATAACAACCTTGGTTTATTCCATGGAAAGCCAAGTCAGCTTCTTTCATGTAAAGCGACTTTTCACCCGCTATCAGAGCATACGACGAAAGTAACTATCACCAATCCGCCATTTAGGTGGAGTCCGGGGCAACATGCATTTCTGTCTTGCCATTCCATCATCCCTCTGCAGTCCCATCCCTTTACGATCACTAGTCTCCCCTCGGACAATTCGTTAGAATTTATTATAAGGGCTCAAGAGGGAGCGACTCGAAAGCTTTACTCGCACGCGAGTGAGACGTTGCCGCCTATGTCCGATGCGACAAAAACAGTCATAGTTGATGGACCATATGGGTGCATACGGCCACTGGAGCAATTCGACACTGTAGTTCTATTAGCTGGTGGTACGGGTGCAACTTTTATCATGCCTTTGATGAGGGATCTGGTGCGACGGAAACAAGCGCGCCAACCAACAGTGACGAGGAAGGTACGATTTGTTTGGGTCGTGAAGGGGCGCGGGCAAGTGGGATGGTTCACAAGGGAGTTTGCAGATGCAGTAAATAGTGTTACAGGGATGAAGGACTTTGCCCTGGAGACCAGCGTATATGTCACCTGCGACGAATCCTTAACCACAGATAAGGCTTCTGAATACGAAGAGAAGCAAAAGCCCCAGCCAGAGTCTGAAAAGGAAGTGGTTGGTCTCTCTGAAACAGAGCTCTGCGGCGGCGATGTGTGCTGCTGTCAGGAAACACTCGAAGACGAAGACGCTATTGTGTCTGACGCTGAAAAACCCAAAGCAAAGTGCTGCTGCTGCGGACCCAAGGAAGAGGAAGGGCGAAAGGACATCAACAGGAACTCGTCGGCGACTACTTTATGCCTACCAGATGAGGTTCATATCATGGCTGGGCGTCCAGCAGTTAGGTCTATTGTTCAGAAAGAGCTGGAGAGAGCACTCGGGGAGACGGCTGTAGTGGTATGTGGACCCGCGGGGCTGATCGATTCGAGTCGGATGGCAGTTGTCGAATTGAGTGATGAGAGGGCTGTGCACAAAGGAACCGGGGCCCAGGGTATTTGGTTCCATGCTGAGGCTTTCAGTATGTAAAAGGAGGGTGTGATTTGGGGGAAAGGCCATCGAGTGACCGCCTATGATTTACTACTCTTTGTCAGGGTTTTGCATGGAAGGCGCTATATAATTTCTTTTCTGGGGTACTGGGAGTTGAGGAACGCTTAATTGTATAGCACTTTGGTTTTCGGGAATCAGATCTTTACTTCTAAAAATTCTTCGTCAGTATTGAACAATATGCACGCTTCTAGAACCAATATTAACTGGTATGAGGCGATCCTTACAGCTAATTCGCTGCCCCCTTAAGATGAAGCTGGCTAATCTTGCGCTTCTATAGATCGAGTGATAGCGTATGATTGTCTCCCGGATCGGTCGCTTTCCGGCGGTTTGTGCATGTCACGATCTAGGACCCAACATGTTTTTAGATCTCACACATGCACATTACGATGAAAATTACCAATGTATGTGTTGCGCGAATTGGCTTTAATTGGTCCATTGGGCAAGTGCCTATGTAGGTACACTGCCTTATCTGCCATCCTTCTTTTCTTGATCCGCCAGCCTCAAAATTCATGATGGTATATATCGATGGCGTGGGTATGTCATACTAGCTAGCGAATCGAATTCCGGGGAAACATTTGCATTGACGTCTGCACCAAGGCTTACTTTGCATTGGTTCGGACGCCTTAGTGAGCAGTCAGACAGTGCGCAAAGCAGAATTGGTATACACTCACCCACTAAGAAGTATCAGTCATACATTGGCAGCTTTCTGTTTCTTCAAGGGCGAAGAACCACTTCATCCACTCAATTCATCAATCAATCACTGTTTGCGAAGAAACTTGCTGATAGCGGTGACCTATTGGGAAAGCAAGAAACGAAGACTATATTCTCACATAGGTGCCGCAATTGGGGTCGCCGTCTATTCTACCCCGCTCTGT